TATTCTAATGGGTTGTAGTTCCCAAGAGGGATATGCTTTGCAGAAGAACTAGTAGAAGAGACATGGTATGTGCTCCCCTACCTGATTGGTTGCACAGCTTGGCAGTTAGCTTCCATGATGAACTCAAGGCTTTCAAAATGTCTAGGGCACGGCACACTTGGGTGAATGTGCTGTCTCGAGACATACAGTTGTACAGAGCGTTGTGTACAAGTAAGGAATCTAACCTGCTCAGGTAAACAAGGAAATAATCAAATTTTCCTGGAACAAGGGCTTTTACAAGAGGACGAAAGTACTCTAATGCAGAGAAAAAACTAACAAGCTGAATGCAATCTGGTTAGTTTTATCATCCCTGTTCTAATGGAGTCCTCCAGACTTTCAAAAAAAAGGCAATAATGGGGTTTGAACATGTCACCAGCCTCGTTTTGAGCTTTCGTTCAAAATATCAATGTGAGTTTTTGTTAACTTTTTTACATCATCATAAAACACAGTGTAGGCCTATAGACTGGGCTGACAAAATGTCCAGTGTCCTGAATGATGCACTATTCGACAGTACAGTGGCACAACTCATGGAGAGACAGGGCACCAATGTGAAGACAGGGTACCAGACATTTTCACCTGATCATGTCGTTAATCATTCCACAATTGACCCTTACTCTCAAAGCATTCCTACTAGAGCCCTTCCAGAATCCTCCAAAATGTTACACTCTGAAGGAACCAATGGCTCATTGCACTGTCAGTTTAAACAGCAATCAAAACCCATTAGAACTGGTACAAGCTGGACTCTGCCCTATAAAATCCTACAAAACTTCTCCCAAGAACCTCCTGGCAGATTATGAGGGATCTAGGTAGGAGAATGTTCATCAATATCAATCTTTTCAAGAAACACCGATCTGTGCTACCTGTCCATGTCCTCGGCACTTGATTTCTGTACAAGGACACGCAGCGCGTCCAGGGACGACTCGACCACCTCCCAGCAGTTGCCCAGGCCGTGCTGCATGCTGGCAATCCTCATCAGCTTGCTGAGGATGCGGTTTCTGCGCGGCTCTGGCAGGTTGTCGCCGGGTGCTGTTGGCGGTGCTGGTTGCGGAGGGGGATCGTGGACGACGGACGAGTGGCCCGCGGATTTAGAAGGAGCTTGAGTTGGCTGCAAAGATAATCAAAAGGTCTCTGTTATTTTAATTAAAATTTCGAACAAAAAGAAAAGGTAAACCCATAAAATCAATCTATTCCCATAATGATTTCTGTGTATAGTACTAATTCTATAAATGATGCTCTGTGTCAATTATTTCATTGAAATATGAAACATACGGCATCTATTTTGTCAGTACATCTACACTTAAATTGAGAATAACTGTGATAATTTAGAAGCACTGTTTAACTCTGAAAGTGCGGAATTCACTAACCACTGGAAATGTCAGCATTGTTAGCATTAATGGAGTGGTTGAAGAGACTATTCAAGTCTTCCAATTTATCACAGAGTAGCACACCAACAAACAATGCATTCTTTTGGTTCTTCAATGGGATTCAAACGTCATGAATGGTGAACCACAGCAGGGTTCCACCTTTCTCAATTTCGCCGAATCCTAAAGATACTTCCTGGGTGTGAAGACTTTGGGAGGTTTACAACCAGTGGTGACTCTGATTGTACAGGTTTAATGATGAAACTCACATCAATAAGAGGTGCAGATGGGTCGATCTCCATGGCTGAGGCATCTTCGTCACTCTCAGGAGATTCAGGGTCTCTGAAGGTGCCAGTGTGGAGGACGGCCGTCCGCACCGTGGAAGAATGCAGCAGCATCCTACGCAACAAGGCCAGGGAGGTAAGCACCGCCGATTCCGCATGACCCAGCGCTGCAAAATCCTCACTGGGGCTGCTGGAGCCACAGGAATCCGGGGAAGACTCCAGGCTGTGACTACCACTGCTGCTGCTGCTCAGGCAGGTGGAGCAGAGCCCCTGGGTGTTGCTCAGGATTACACTGTGGGTTGCGTCGATGTAAGCGGTCAGCTGGTCCTCCAAGAGGGGCAGGAGGTCCGTGACGTAGGTCACTGGGTCCCGAGTCTCTGGGACCTGGGACCTTTCTGCCGGTGGTTGAAGAGGAGGTGCTTGGAGGGTGACACTGGGTGGCAGCGGTGGGATACGGGGTGGATTAAGGATGTTGGATATAGCCCTGGTGGCAAGCTCCAAATTGTGATGATTTTTTTCACTAACATCAAGTGCCTGCCTCTTGCTTGGCAAGACTCTAAAAAGAAAAAGAAATAAAAGAAACAGTTAGTTAAGCTCGGACAAATTAAGAAACTTAACAAGAGAACTTCTTAATGTAATGTCTAAATTCATCAGTTCTAACATCAACAGTCTCAACTTCTTTGTTGTGAAAAAAAATTGAGCTTTCAAGTAACCTACTTTAGAACTAGAATCGCATTTTACCTTTCCCTTCCCACTCAACGAATCTGGATGAGTAAGGACTTGTCCAGAATGCAACACGAAAATACTTCCTTTCGCTTTTGAGGTTTGACGGTAGCTCAACTTTGAGAAGCAGTGGTGATCCAGAAACAAAAATCTAGTTTCTCCAGATCAAAGAAGACAGGCAGAAACATTGGTCGCACCTTTTGGGTTTGGCTGGTGATGGCTCTCCTGGCAGAGCAGCCTCGGTCCCTTCGCTGGGCACTCGGTCATGACCAGTGGACTGGACCAGACCCATAAGTCCTCCCACCGACCCACTGGCAGTGACTTTCTCCTCAGGATCTTGCAGCAAACTGCTAACAAGCTGGGCTTCTGCTGATGAACCTTTACAGGAGAGGAAAAAAGTAGCTTGGCATTGAAAAAAATTTATTCTTTCAGTTAAAACAAAGCATGAAGGGCAAAGAGACTATGTAACTTTGGTCTGGTTGTGCAAATTCAGCTGAAAAGTGGTCACACATACTTCTTGCAGAGATCAGCAAACAAGGATGGATTCCGAATCTTTGCTTCACCTAGGTCTCAGACTATGCCTAATTTTCAAACTTCCCGGCATCCCTTCCCCAGGGTTCTGAGTTTTAGCTAAATAAAAAGGCAACGAAACATGGAGGGTTTCCAAACACTGGCTTCACCACTTTGGAGCTTTCAGCTCAAAAAAAGTCATGTTTTGCTAAATACGTTAAGAAGTGTGTACTGCTGGCCCAAGACAGGAAATTTTTTCATTTAGCTCACAATTACAGGCCTCGAAATTCAAAGGGTTGAGGCAACGAAGCCTAGATCAAAGCCGAGATATGGCAATGTCTGTGAAGTGCCTTTGTACAATTCTCATAGTACGACGCCTCACCTCTTTCAGTTCCCGCCAAGACACATTACGCTGACCAAGACATGAAAATATCGCAGAAATATTAACGGCATTATCAAGATTACTAAATGTGATAAACTGTGCTCCTGGGCTTACCTGTCTGAAACCTGGCGGACAACCTGCATGACTTCTTGGCATTGCTGGGGGGCTTGTTGGATGTGGCAGAGGGGCTGCTGTGTGCAGCTGGAATAGGATGGGGAACTGCCGGAGACGCCTTGCCTAACACCAAGTATTTTGTACAAAGAATCAAAGCAATGCCAAGACCAAGGTATACGGACACCTGTCCCATTCTCAAGTTCTGAACAGAAAAATTATTTCTGAATATTAAAAGTCAAAATGTGAATGTTAAGATTTGGGCAGTTAAATGCTAATTGTAACACTCGATCTAGTATTTCTGAAAGTCTGCATGCCTATGGTCAAGTGCTTTCTAATGTATCAGTTTGTGAACATGCATGTGTACGTTATGAAAATATTTGATTTGCCAATTAAAATTCACGCTCAATAAAAATCATATAACTGATCAAAAGTACAAAAAGAAAGCTCCAGTAAATTTGAAATCATATATGTGTCTTCTTTTATTTCGTTTCCTCTATTAGAATGCAAGAAATTCAAAATGCACCTGGACTTTTAACAGCAAAACCTTTCCTCGGACTCCTCTTGGGACTGTGTCGGACTTGCAGGCTCTCTGACAGCGTCCGGACCCGGGGTGACCTCAGCTGACCCCTCTCCACTTTAGGATTGTCCGCCATGAACGACTTCTGGGTCGGAAACACGTCTGCGTCTCTGGCTTCGTCTTCTGTCTTGCCGAGCCGCGGCAACATTGGGTGTTGCTTCGGGGGTGTGGCGGGGGCATTGTTTGCGCTGCTGGTGGGGACAGGCGGTCGGGTGCGGTGGTTCTGGCTGGCGCTCTGCACCTGCATCAGCTCCACCTCCTTAAACTGCAGCTGGGCTTTCAGGCTTTCGTTCTGATAATTCGAAAGAAAGAAAAATTGGTTTGGATTCATATCCAGCGAAAACTGCCACTAGTTAAAATTCTTTTCTGTAATCCAGATAGGTTGGGATTGAGTATCCCCAAGCAATGCCAAGGCTACACATATTAACCCTAACAATCCTCCATCCTCCATAATTCACTATTCAAATATTCAACCTTCAATTTGATTGAATATCTGAATATTCGGTTGCACCGACCGGCAGATTGTTGATGAACAAACCATATACAAAATCAGTTGTGATAACACACACAATTGTACATTATGATCAATATAATAGGTTCTCACATCAAGGAGTATCTCCAGCCACGATTTGGCAAGATTTAAGCGATGAACAAGACTTCTTGCCCAGTTAAAAATTTCTATAGCCCTTTACACTGTTTATTGAATAATTTACTTTTTAAATCATTGTAAGATTTTCATTTGAATCTGCTTGAAACAAGCCTCCATGGTGCAATTTTTCTAATTTGAAAGAAAAGGAAATGTTCAGTTCCTTTTCGTGAATTTTGCATTTGAATATTCAAATTTGAAAAATAATATTCAAATATTAAACAATCGATCAAATATTCGGTTATTCGGATATTCAGCACAGCCCTATTGAGGACTGAGACTGCTACAAACCAACATCACAATTAAACACCACCTCGCGTCTAGATGTCTGTTCCAACAAGAAGCATCCCTCAACAAAATAGACGGGCAACGAGGGCAGGGAAGTTTTTCGACCAGGCTTGACCACACATCCGGGGCACAAGCGAAAAGAATCCACCAATGCATGCTCAGCACGGTCAACACCAAACACAGATAAACCTGTGCACACACGCAGTGAGTTCCTACCAAAGAGGGGTGAGTGTTGCCTTGTGTAAAACCCATGCCATCTCCTGATCCAGTGCGGAGCGGATGACACTCTTACCTCTCTGCGGAGTTCCCTCTCCATCTCCCTCATCTGTTGCTTCTTCTGTTCTTCGGCTTGCAGACGTTCCATCTGTAGACGGTTGGCCTCCACCTTGGCCTTGCTCAGGTTCTGCCTCAGGACCTGTATTTCTCCGTTCTTGCTGAGCATCTCTTCGTTCAATTGCTTCAGCTTGAAATGTAAAAAAGGGGACATATTCACCACATGAATATGTTTGCACATCAATGACAAAATGATATGAACAAATGACCTCGAGGTCAAATCGATCACGCGTACATTATGCCATCAGTTGAAAAATGAGGGGTGTATCGCTGGACTAGCAAGTGTATGGTACCAAGACATTTAAATCCCCCTCTCCAAAAGTGAAAATGCAATATTGAGATCAGCAAGCATTCCAACATTTTGGGATTGGTTGGAGTGGAAAGATTTGGCCAGGAAGGCGACTTGGTCAACTAACCTGTTGCCTGAAGGCTTCGCACTCTGACCTGTACTTGACCATTTGCTGTTGCTGAAGTGCCCATGTCTGGCATGAGCCGGTCTCTCTTTCCGAGGTTGGCAGGCCGGGCGACTCCCTAGCTACTGCCCCCTTTGGAGGGGTAAGACTGGTTGTGTCACAACCCCCACGTTGGGGTGGTGCCGCATGGAATGACCCTCCGACGCTGGCATTGCTGGGGATGGCCCCTGGCTTGGTACTGTAAGGGACGGGATTACTTCTGTTGCTTAGGTCACCATGGGGATTCTGCAAAACATTCCTGGTTGGGTACGGTCCCGTATTGTTGCCAATGCCTAGCTGAGGCTCTGGTTTGGATGCAGACGTTACAATTTGAGAACCATTGTTGGTTTGGGGCGTCTGTTTTGAGGATGCCGCTGGCATGCTTGACCGGAGAGTCTGAACTTTGGCAGAATCGACATTTTCGCCAAGCTGGTGGCTATATGGTGATGTGCTTCCACTGCGATACGGGGATGAGTAATAAATCTTAGTTCCCGTCACGTTGCTTTGCTTCATGCTGCTTCTGTTTTGGGCTTGGGGGAATGTGGGAGTTGCCGTGCGATTTGAAACTGTGGAGGGGACTGGTGTTTGTGAGCGACCTCCCCGGGAGTTCGTTGATTTGAAAGAAAACCTGCTGCCGGTGCTGGCATAACTGGTGTTGGCATGCTGCAGGGCAACATAGCTGCCGCAGGCCTGTGAGTCGTTTTCGGCGCTCATCTTATTGACAACTTGGCCATGGACACCTGTTGGGTAGTTGGTCTGACGGCTTGGAAACCTCGGGGTGCTGGCCGGCCTCTTCAGGGCCTGGGCTGGCGGACCCAGATCTTGGCACGGCTGCTGGCTCAAGGCCTGAGAGGCTATCATGTCACATGACTCCAGATCGTCCTCGGTGAAGCTGTCAAAGTCCTGGAATGGATCCCCATCATCTGTGGACCCTAAGTCTCCGCTGTCTCCCATCCGAGGTTTCTTCCTCGGACCCGGCGAGTCCCTAACGTTCATACTGCCTGCGTTCAAATTGGTCTGACGGAGGACATTGGCCGTTCTCTGGCCAGGGGAAGCACTGACACTGTTATAGATGGGCGGACGCTTGTTTGGTGCAGGCCCTGAGAAAAGTGGGTTGACAGACATGCTCTCTGTTCATCAAAGGACCTTTCTGAAAAAGAAACGGAAAAATACAGATCCATCATAATAGATACAAAACAAATCTTCTTTGGACCATTTACAGCAATTAACAGCCCAAAATCTCATAAATCAAATCTTAACTCCTTTATGATGACATCAAGCCTGTTCTGTATTTTACAGCAATGACAGCCCCTAGACTTTTTTCTGATAGAAAGAGTTCCATATACATATAGGGACATCACTGACTTTTCCTTGCAGTCATGATAAATGAATAACATGTCCTAGTGAAAATTAATATTTTAATAGATGTCTTAGTGAAATGCAAATTTAGCACTGAAAATGGTTGTGCACGGTGTCACAGGGTGTAAAGTGATTCGTGGTGTTATGCAATAAACTATAGCGTCTGTCCCAACTATAGTTGGGACAGTCCCAACTGTAGTGCTGCAGTTGGGCTGGCCCAACAATTGTTGATCAATTTCTGTAGAAAAGTTCTCAACCTTATCTTAGTTTATGCATTTCACATTCAACACAATTCATCTAAAATATGGCACTTCATCTCTGACATGGCAATGTAAACAACATGACTTTGGCACATGCTGGGCACATGCACACTGGACCTCTGTGCTATAGTTGGCCCAGCCCAACTACAGCACTCTAGTTGGGACCAATTATGGGGCAGCGCAGATATCTGGGATTCTCACAAAATGGCAGGAACCACGCTGGTGAAACCACCGACCATGGCGACGTATGCACACACCAGCCAGTCCGAGATCGGGTTACACAATCTTTTCTTTGATCAGTCCCTACACACGCGCTCGTTGAAGTTTCATCGGCGCGGTGTGGTTGCTACCCACAGTTTTGTTTAACTCCTGGATGTCTGCGCTGCCCCGTAGTTGAGACAGGTCATGCTATTTAGCGTCAACAACACGTCAACTAAACATTCAAGCTTTTTTATGAAAATATTATATATTTACAATATTAGTAATAGGCTCCTGCATATCATATTTCGTGTATCATGTTATCGAAAATGATATTGGAGTGACAAATTCGAGCCAACTCGTGCAGCCTGACTGGCCGCCATCTTGTTTTTGAGAGGACAGTAGAGGAAAGAAAGATGGCCAACATCGCCAACAAATTTTGTTTTTCTGCGTGAATCTGGAAGCGAATTCAATGTTTCTTCTACAAGGTTTTAGTTTTACAGTTATGACAGTGGCAGGTCTTAGAGTCTCTAAATTAAGATAAAATCACTTTTATATCTTTAGAGGGTATTTTCAAGTTGTTGACACTTTGTTGACGCTAGTTGTATGTGTTGACACTTGTTGACCATGTTGATGCTAATACTATTAGGCCTACTAGTAATAGCATGACCGGTTGAGACTGTGCTGCAGTTGGGGCATAACCATGATAACACTTTCAAACAGAATACTCCATTCTCAATTTCTCAAAACATATTGATAAAAAAAAAATTTTGACAAGAGGCTTCAGTAGATAGGAGGGAATGTCCCAATAATATTTTTGCGACACTGTCAGATGACTGTTTTCATTAACCCCCGTCCCCCTTAACATCAGACCATCATGACTGTGCTTAATAACTTAATGTTAATCTGAATAACGTTGACCCTGTGAATCGCCTTTTTAATTTTTTAACATGTCCAAATATTGAAAAAGGTGATTTGTGGGGTTGGCCTACAATTTACAAACATGACGAACTGTCCAAAGTTACTAGGACCACAAAACATATCGTTTTACATGTCGGACTAGGCCTACATCATACATGATTCTACCTCCATGATATAGCCTGGCTCATGCCTAGCTTAAGTTACGATACATTTTTATTTTTGAACATAAGCATTGTCTATTTACAGGGTTGTAAGTTGTTTGCTAAATACAAGCTGCAGGGTTAAATTAAATTAAATCAACATTTTTGAAAAGGTTTCTTTCATCCGAAACTTCATAGGCCTACCTATTGCCGAACCAATCTCTCAATTGCCGTTTTGCGAGCAGAGAGCGCGAGTTGTTTGTAGCTAGAACATGACATGTGCTGCGATAATGTTTTTCTTCAAAGATTCCAATAACCCGCGAGGGTGGATTTGAAATAGCTCATAAATAAAAACGTATTTTGTCGAAAAATTACACTCTCAACCTCAAAAGTATATGGCTCAAAAATCAGTATATCTTTTTTAAACCACTGGGGAAGGATAAGATCAATAATTTTACGAGGGTTGATCTTTCATTGAAAGATGCTGAGCCATCACGAAAACACGATTTCCCCTCTGACGAAATGGTTTGTCCATTACCGTTTCTTTTCATGCATCATGGGTAATCAAGATGGCGGCTCTCGCAAGGGGAACGCAAATTGGTTCTCGTCTGATGACCTTTTTACAGCGCAATTCTCCCCGATTGAAAACGCATATTCCTGCATTACCCGTGCGAATTTACAGTTCCACAAGTAAGAAAGTAAATCAGTCAGAATATATCACTGGTAAGCGAACAGAAGTGGACGAAGAAAGAATCCAAGAAATTATAAGGGAAGGCGAGAAAGCACCGAGTCTCACAGACCCGAATGACCCGGTAAGCGTGGTGGGCGTGGTTTAACTGCTGTAATTTAGGGATGGGATGCTCACTTACGGTGTGGGTGAGATCAGGCAACCGACATAACCTGGTGTTCACTTTTTAGCACCCTGTTCCTGTAATAAAAGAAATAAAATTTACTTTTCAAACAAGGCCCAACACTGCCCTAGCCAGGCCTATCCTACCCCCAGACACCAGCTGACCAGACATGCCAGTGACATGCCAGAACAGAAAAACTGGTCCAACGTCTGCTCCTCTCTCATGAGTGGGAGCAGAGCGGACATTGGACCCCACAGTTCTGAGGATAGGCCTACCCATGCTAGGCCTAACTGACTTAAAACTTAAGGACTTTCAGTTTCAGATGTTTTATACATTGAGTATTGTAAGTTAGGCCTAGGCCTAATTAATCCGAGTAAGGACCCTACAATTTACAAATCGCTTTTTTTTACATTTGGACATGGTTGGGCGATAGTAGGGTCCAAGTAGCTTCCTTAGAATTTTGCTCCCATTAATTTATTTCACTCGAAATGGCTCGTACCCAGGTCAAAATCCTCCAAATTCACCTCCAAAACCTGAAAATTGTCCTTACAATGCCTTAAAAAGTCTAATGTGCCTGTCTCTGGATTAAGTGAGAATTTGAGATTCCATTAATGTTAATATGGTTTACTCACATATGGGAAGAAATTCATAAGAGAAATTTCCTCTTCAAATCAGAAACACTCTTGTTGACGAGCTCAAAGATGCAATCTTTCCTCAAATAGTGATATGAACTGTATGGTGATGTCCTGTTGATGACGTCATGGTATGCTGACCTAGCCTATGATACATGTAGGCTATTTATTGGGTACGATTGGTTGATTTGCATAATCACCAAATCTTTGCACAGTACCGATAGACCTAATGTTTATAACCGTGTGGTTGCCAGGTCCATATTTTCACCTATTGTCAAGTCTGATTGGCTCTTGCCTCCCAGTAAGTGGCGAAATAAGGGACCTGGCGACTATACCGTCATGGACGCTACACATCCTATTTGATAATTCCACTCTCTGGCAATGGTTAGGAAGATTTTTTGTAAAAAAAGGTAAGTAAAGTCCGAGATATAGAACCAATGTATCAGTCCAAAATCACCTTTTCGTCCTTTGTAGCAGTGTAAATCTTCCTTCTACACAACAAAACAGTGCAATAAACATAGAAGAGTAATTTTGGGGAGGATGTGAAAAAAATGTGAAGCATTAGGCCCAATACTGTTCATGGAAAATGTGAAAATGATCACTAATTTGGGTAGTTGAAGTTTCTTCCTTCCTCCATGGTTGAAGACAGGCCCTGAAGGGTTGCCAGAATCTTGTATGGTTTATCCTGATGCCCCTTCCCCACTTGTGAACTTGTGTAAAACCATGTCAAAGTCTCGGTCCAGATTTACTGAATGTCAACATTTTGACAATATTTTCTGCCAAATATGCAAATGTTTCTCAGATCACGCCCGTTTGCAAAAACGGACCCTCATCACGATATCTGTTTAATTTATTCGTTGAATTATTAAGCTTCTTTGTATATTTGGTTAATCAAAGATGGGACTGTAAAATGTAAGCTCCCATCAGCCCATCAAAAATGGCAGCCCTATCTTTTTCTACAGAAATGAAATCTCAAAAAAATATTGACAGCCTTTCTCATGTGCATAAAGTTGACCGTGTCTTCAATTTTTTTTTCTTTTTACAGAGCTATGTTTCACACGGCTTCAGCGATGACCCCTACATTGATCTGTGGTCCTATCGCTTAATCTTCTTTGTGGCATTCTCCCTCATTATGGTGATTGGCCCACTGTATATACACTACCTCCCAGAAAGGTGGGTACAGCCGGAATTTTGCAGCGCTACTTGAACTGGGGTTTGAACCCAATCTGTCCTCAGACTTCCCAAATTCAGCACACTGTTTTTGAAATAATCATAAGGGTTGAGCGCTGTACATGTACAACCCAGTGACCATTATTCAGTGGGACAGCATCCAGCAATAGGGGGATATCCCCAGACATTTTTACCTGACACACTTTGCTGTGTCTGGCAGGGTTAGGGTTAAGCCGGCAGGAGCCAGTAGTCATATCATGTGAGGTTTTCTGATTCATAAGCGGTATGCTGCCGGATGCTGGTCATGGTATTCACCGTTAATGATAAACAAAGCCTACATTCTGACGTGCACAATGATGTTGGTGGCGAATGGTAGTGTTTGCCTGTGCTGTAGACTTTGCCTAAAGGTTGCTTTTAAGGTCCAAACAGTGGTGATCACTCCCATTAATTGGAATTATTATGCCCTTATGAAGGTTTTCAGTTATCTAATAGTGAACAGCATTGCAATCTGTGGAATGTAATCAGGTTTTATCATTCCTCATTATCACTATGTATAACACTATCAAATGTTGGTTATGGCAGATGTTCAGAAAAAGATGACGCCTAAGAAATGAAACATTGCATAGTGGCAACAAGTACTTCATCAAGCAGATTTCATGTATCTTTACTTTCTATAGCAATGGTCGCTTGTGGGCACGTAGAGAGGCGGAGTTAGTCATCGCCGAACGGAGGAAGAAGGGCCTGCCGCTGATCAAAGCCGACCTCTGCAATCCCGAGAAACTGGTTCTGCCATCTGATGAGGAGGAGGAAAGGTTGTACAAGAAAGTCATGGGCTAGAAGATCCCATTGGTTGAATTTGACGTGTCGCTGCTCACAGAGTGATGCCTGTGTCCAATCATTGTGACTGGTACTCGTCCAAAATTCAAGGAACAAAATTAAGAAGGAAAAGATATGTTATTTCCATGGCGAAGGCCAGATGGTCTTCTATGTATATGTATGCATGTACTGTACGTGTGCAACTGCATGCAGTCACACTTTGGTACTGCAAACTCAACTTGCAGTGTTCCTATCATGCATAGTATTAGTTTACTTCTGTTTTCCTACGTGTAGGTTAAATACATTGCAGTTACGTCTGCGTTTGCACTGTTCAATTCTTTTGGAGAGAATGTTGTTTGAAAGCCCATCGGGAATGATTGAATTGTTTGGCAAGTTCTTGTCGACTCCAGGGAAATTTGCTCATGCCCTCACGGACCTCATTTCAGGTTTTTCTTAAACAAAAAGATTTCATTTTGAAACAAAACACAATTTAAATAATAATGTACATTCAGTACCATTACCTTAATTCTGTTTTAATTTTTTTGTTTGGTGAAACTTCTTTTTGTTTGTGAATTACGATTGGTGAGGTCGGTAACAGTCTGACCAAATTTCCACTTGTGCATAGAATTGCTCTCCTGTAGCAAAGATAAGAGATTTTGGCATGAAAGACATCTTGAAATGTATGTCCTGCCAACTCCCGTTTGACCAGAGGCAGCATTATCTTTGCCCCCCCTTTTAAGATGCACCTGCCACAAACTGTCAAGATGTAACTGTCAACAAAAGCTGTACGGCTCACAACATGACAGTTCAGAAAGTTTAATCAACAATATATTTCTTGCATCATTGCACCTGTCTGTGTCCAGTCATATTTATATTTAGGAACATGAGGAGGAACATGAGCTAACCATTAGAATCAGAGTCAGAATTTTCTCATGTTTATGTTTTTTTTAAAGGCTCTTTAAATTGACTTTTTTCTTTTTGTCGAAAGACTGAAGGATTTCTTTGCTGTCCTTATCAGTGAGCATGATTGTTGGTCGAAGTCACACCAGTGCGGTTTTAATTTATGGGAGCTTTATTCTGCAAGAGATATGGTTTAAGTGCATTACACTGTTGGTGCTCAGGGCTCACTTTCATTTGCGCCAGCTACGCTGTGTTGACCTCTCCTACTCACAGATCCAACACCAGGAATTGCATGCCCGTTCCTGTGCCCTGGCCAGCCCAACATCAAGGGGATGAATACCTTTGTTGAGAAGTCCAGACTTCGGACAAAAAAAAAATTGCCCTGTAATGTAGTTGGTCCCGACATCCATCCATTCCAACACATCGTCTCCACAAATAGGGAAATTATAGTTGTTCTCTGTGTGCATAACAGTACAGTGCCCTCACAGTTCACAAGCTTCTCCGGTGAAATGCACAGAAGTCCAGCTCTGAAATTCCACATGCAGTCCCATCGGTCATTCGAGCTCCATTTTCAATGGATAATAATCAAGATTCCATTTCTGAAAGCAGCTCTGCCATTGGGCACTGCTGACGAGGGATAGTAATGTCAGAAATACCTGCTGCCAAACTGCTGCATAGTTGGCAGAATTTGAGTACCATAGAAATGTGATAGTTGCATCACAAGCGGATCCGTGTAATGTAAAAAATGTTAGAGATTCCGAGTTGCGTTTGAGATTAAAGTAATTTTGGATTGAAAGTAAGGGCGTTTTTCTGGTTATCTTTGTTTGCTTTCCTTTCATCCTTTTCACTTCCACTTCTGAATCCAAAACAATTTTTCCAGCTTTCTACAAAAACCTGTGTATTTTTTACTCTTCGGAAGAAACACAGCAACGTATGACAAATGAACAAATAAATGAATCAACAAGAAACACACAGATAACTTATTTCCTTTTTTTTTTCCCTTCCATCTTGGGCAACAGAAAATGTGTTTTCACATCTACATGGTCTACTTTTCATTTGTAAACGTCATGATACAAAAAATGTTTAAATCACAAATTTGGAAAAAAAAAACAATTACATTCGTAATGCACATACATTTACCACCTCTATGTCGAAAACATTTATACTGTACAGTACCAATATCTTGTTCTATTCCACAAGGCTGCACATATACAAACATATACCTGTATATATAATTCAGATAATGAATTTTTTTTTTTTTAAGGAATAAAATCAACAATCCGGAAACAACAAAAAATATTTCCGTTTTGTAACAATAACCACACACTTTTTGATGACGCTCCCATTTGCATTTATAAAAAGGCACTCCAAAATGTACAATATTGACCCCAAATGTATTTCGAGGGCTTTCTAATTACGACCTGCATGTGCTACGAATTGGTGACGATAGTTAACTATAAGTCATGGCTGCTATGCGGAGAGAGTCAACTTAGATTTCGTACTTCCCTCAGTTACCGTCACTGCTGACTTTTTTGTCTGGTTTTGCTACAGAAGTTACGGCTTGCACTCCCAAGCCCTATTCTGTGGGCAGTTTTCACTGAAAGAAGCTGTAACTTCAAGGGTAACATATTTTCTATCAACAGGAAAACCATATTATGGAACTTTAGCTTTTTCTATAAGTTAAAATTTTAGTTTGAAAAATTTTTAAAAATGGGAACAATTCAATATGAAATAAATTACTAAATGTTAATTTGCTAACTACAGTTAAAGTACTTCTAAATTATTTCAATATTGTTACACAAAAAGGTGCTTTTTTCTGAATATATATTTTTCTCATGATTATTATATATCGAAAGATTTGACAAGTGTGATGTACAACGAGAAAAAAAGAGATTTTGAACTTTTTGGTTTCTTGTCTGATAAATAGACCACTCCCAGTTTCCCTGCTATTTGTTTGGGTGGCCAAAACTTCCAGAAAATATCACCTTTTGATTGGTTTTCGATTTTACCTCAAATTTGTTCCAATTAATTTTAAATAGGGTTGTAGTTTTATTTAGTTGTACTTGTATTATTATTTGGTGTGTACTTTTGTACTGATAGCCATAGTTTTAGCAGCTACTTGAGGGAGAAACACAACTGTAACGTCAAAAGAACGGACCTTACAAGTGTAGTACGGCTGTTCGCAGTTCAAACCATTCCACTCTAAACATTCCCCCCCCCCCGAACAGAGAGAAGAGAAAATATGACTGAACTACAAGTCATTCTATTGAAGGAGACTTGAATAGCTAATGCGAACATGAAGGATGCTCCCCAAAGAAAACCCAACGTGGTAGCAAGGTACCCAACGAGTACGTGTAAGATTTTCAGCCAGTGTGAAAGTTTTTCTAAGAGTTGTGATAAACTTAAAATCTGCGTGAAGTTTGACCAACTTGACACTTGAACAGCACATGTTCAGAACAGGACAAGTTGGGTCGATGTTCATTGCTGTGGTAAACCATTTCTTTTTTTACATATCTTGCACGCTTCTTTATCAAACTGTACAACAGAAACATACGTTTTCATTCTCAAAAGCATTAAAAAAAAAAACCAAGTCAATGTTTCAATTCTTTTCATACGTACATGTATTGATAAAAAGAATCACTCTGAGATAGGCGCCTGTAAATATAAGCAAGCAAGCTGCATTAATTTTTTTTTAGCTTTTCACGTTAACAAAATCAAGACTTTCTACATTATTTATGCTACACTATAGCCACGCTCAAGAATCTCACCCTGTGAAAATCTGACAGTGCACAGTAACCGTAAATTACAATCTCCCTTTTTTTACAACTGTGATAATTCACACTTATTACAATGCAAACTAATGACCAGCGACCAAATGCAACATTTTCAGACCAAACTTCTACTACAGATTCTGAAAGACAGCTTTACAAAAAATAACATCAATACACAATCCACTCTTGTCCCTTCACAGGCCCTTTAAACAGTCAAATAAAATCTGATTTTTCTTCTCAGCACCTGACAAAACATGATTGCTCACGACTCTTTAGATACATCCCTTTATCATTGGTTACATGTTTGTAGTGCCTGTTCTGCAAAGGTAGTTTTATAACAGACACAAGAAAATACAGACATAGCTCAACAAAAAAGGCAGTTAAATCTTTTCACTATGATACACAGAAATTTTACAAGTTTAATACACGAGTTCCTGCTCTCTAAGAAATTCAGAGATTTTCCTTGAAGGTGATCAAGTTAAGAAACACAACACGAGACTAAAAATTTTTACAATCTGGAGAAAAAAATCAAAAGCGCGGTGAATCCTGTGTTCACATTCACAAAATTAATTCAGCCACATCTTTGCAGATGCTTTTTTATAACAAAAATGTTGGACAAATGAGTATGGGTGTGCTGTTTGGTAGGCTGAGTTTTAGATATCTGGCCATATTTGATGAATGTTCACAGATAAATTTTCAAAGCAGCACTAAAATCAGAGAGGAAAAAATGCACAGTCTGGCCATTGGGAAAGCAGGACTCTATTTTGCAGGAACTAAAGATTTACGCTAACATCAGACAATGATAAGACTGGCCCCCAGACCAACCAGTTTGTGCTAATATATGGGTGGAATGAAAAAATCTTTGTCAACCATCCTGCTCAAGGACACCCAAGTGCCTGGATCCACTGCCCAGGCTCCAGGCAGTTGTGACAATGTTCAATTATGTACTGTGATGCGCCCAAAACCAAAATTCACAGGGTTTCATCCCCTATCACACAGAGAGCCAGTCAGAAAAAACAGGTGTGTTGCAAGATTGAAGTCAAGACAGAGGACACATTGGGACCTCATCTTCACCACCTGACTGAGGACCCTGACAGAGGACCCTGACTGAGGACCCTACTGGTACTATTCTGACCAGCCAACATTTCTGACTAAACGCTTTCAGTTCCCCCTCCCTCCCCATTTCTTAAATTTCAAGGACAATCAATGTCCTGCCTTCCACACCATTACATATTGCCCGTGGCGAAGTACCTGTCTGCTGAAAGCTTTTCCATCGATCCAAAAAAGCATACATCATCAACTTGAACATAGTGGTTTTTTATCCAACGTCTCGAATTTACTGAATCACACATTCACTTACTGTATCTCATCACAAACGATGACTGCAAACCTTCATACGGTGTCAAAGATGACTTGGTACCGCTCAAAAGCAGTTACACCATTAAAGCAAGGACCTGGAAACTCGGGTCCAAACACAAACGGTGAACCTTCTAGGTTGGAGAGGACATTCTCTATGAATTCTCAGTTTCATTCATATAACACACCAAGCACGAACTAGAACAACTTCAGTTGATTTACGTCTGGAACCAAACGCTTTCGATTCTTATACACATCTATTGATCACTTATGAAAAAGCAGTCCATGTATGATGTGAAAAACTGAATTCCAAGTAAAGAGCAAACGCCACCCTTAAAAATCTGTAAGCGTCATTTCAAACTCTCCTGAATGTAGTCAAGGTAGTGATGTTTCAGTATGTACAGTGTATCAAAAAGAATCAAACGTGAAATCTTCAACTGATGGATTCACACATCTACAGGTAAGACCATTTCTATCTTTAGGCTATGTTCAACTGGTTTAAGCAAGTTCAGCAGACAAGCTCAGTATAATATGAAATATCTTAGCTCAAATAAATTGACAAGAGATTGATGCAGCCCAACCCTATTTGTTACATGCGCTTTCATTCGAGGAAGTTTGAAATCCGCTCAAAATTACACCGATGCGGAAAGAAAGCCAAAACGTCCAAGTTCAGCAATTGACAATGAGAGTGAAAGGTGGAAAAGTGAACAACTGTGAACATGGAAAGTGAGAAATGAGAGCAGCTGACATCCCATCAACAAGACAAAAATCCTTTGCCCTGAAATCACTGAATTCAATCCTCCCTTCTCACTTGCCATTTAATACATTATCAATACAGTACTGAGGGGGGGGTTCTATTCCGTTATTTCACTTTGAAATCCTGCTGCCAAATACTTTTATTGGTCCGGGAGCAAAGGCCAGTTCACACTTCAGGCAAATGTGATTGCAAATCAATTTAACATCACTTAACATTTGCAGCAAAATTCACCTTGAGTTGAACGTGTTCAACGTTTGCATTTTCACACCATGAATCAGATAATTTGACATCGCGAGTTTGCATTTGTGTATGATTTCATACAGAACCTACAGGTAATTGGTGGTCACTCTTGCTAAACTCTTGCTAACTCTTGCTAAAGGCCATGAAGCAGTTCTCGACCAACTGAATTTTACAATACAATACACCGTAGCACATCAGTGTGGAGCCAGAACTTACGATTACCCACCGAACTTATAGTCAAGTGTAGTTTCAACCATGAAGTTCCTGCATTTCTAAGGACAGGGAGTTCCCAACTTTTTCCCTTTCCAATGATAAATACAGCAGAATATTCAAAACTTGACTGCATAACATTCCCTAATGACCCACATACACCAAACACTTCGATGATTGACCCCTGTTAATTAATGCCAACGCAGCATGATTAATGGTACAAAATTGTGAATTTCTACACTGCGAATTTATGCACGATCTACACACTTTACTTTACAGCAGTCTACTTCTGCAGCTTAAATTTATCATTTACAAAAAAAGAGTTCATCCGTTTATCTCTCAAAGATACACGCAGAGTGTTGTCTAACAAAATGGCTGGCCCCACTGGTGGATTCTATGGCACTACTAACAAAAAGACGGCAGCTTCCACTTTGGGCCAAAAAAATGTAGCCAGTCAGGCTTCTGTATTAGCTGACTACTTGGCGACCAACTGAGCTGGCAACATCCAGACACAAACGTTCCCCACGCTCAGCAAATTCTTATGCATGATCTACGTGTACACACAGATGTACAGAGAGCTGAATAGCGTGTAGATAACGCATACATTTTGGTGAGCGTAATGAACAGTTGTGTTCAGATATCACCAGCTCAACTAAACATGTGTATGCCTGAAAACTGTCAAAAACATGTTTAGTGACTGCGCACTTGCCCCCATGTCATATTTAGCACTGGGTTCCCCTGTGTTCGTACACATGTAGTTTCCAATATCCCGGCCAGGAATGTAAGCAATGCCTGTGGGTTCTGGTGAACCATTCCTGGAAGAAGTGGGCAACGCGGCACACAATCTGCAGAGAAATGTCCAAATGTAGTGAAATCCCTATAACACACCCCTTTTCTTAACACCTCCCCCCGGCCAAAGCCATTCTGGAGAAGCAATCATTGCCTGTTAAAATTTGCTTTAAAATTGCACTCCACAAGGAACTGTGCTGCTTTTTTGGCTTCCAGCTCCCAATTCTACGTACCACACAGCAATACGCAAAATGAAATATCTGCTACAAAAGCAAAAAAGATGGGGGCTTCCAATAACGGTGAAACAATGGGCAGGGGAGAGATCTGGATACTAAATCCACCAGTGGCAGCTGAATGTTAGAAGGAAGAGTACATCATAAGGCTGAGTATATATACAAAGAACTCACTATGTTCATACAGACCAATTGTGCGGCAGCCATCTTGAAGGCCCGTGCTTTAGATTTTAATACAGAGATTCATATGAATGTATCTTATGTGCATTCAGTGTTTAAAACAAAAAAATATGAAAAACAATCTTCAAGAGGGTTGCCAAATGCAATCCTTTATATCAGTGCTATCTTATAAGATGTGTGTGCTCTTGTTCCTCGAGGTTACAGCACAAGGACACCTTCCATACGCTCACTGTTACTGAATAAAATGAACAAAAGGACCTCCAAGATGGCTGTTGAATGCAAAGGGTCTATTACGTTGGTATACAAATTACACATGACTCACAATGCCAGAACCAGAATCTTGAACAAGATGAAAACTTTCCAAGGTTTATTTTTAATCAGCGGTGTTAAAAGGCATTAAAAAAACCAGAATAAATGGTGAGAATCTTGAACAAGATGAAAACTTTCCAAGGTTTATTTTTAATCAGCGGTGTTAAAAGGCGTTAAAACAAACCAGAATAAATGGTGAGAATGTGGATAACATTTTATTCAAAGAATGCAAAAAAAATTGCACTTGATATTTACACCATGACAGATTCACTTGATCGACAACTGAAAAGACAGTTACTTCTGCATTTTGCTACATGAGGACAAGTGGAAAACTCTTCATCTGCGTCCTCTCTCACTGAGACACATGACCCAACTTACATCTGTCCTTGTCATATGCAAAGACCGCAGCGCTGCACTTTATTTGGGAATATGAAGTAAAGTAATAAACATGTTGCTGTTTGATAAAGAGTGAACGGTTCTTGTACATGAACCTAAGCTTCACTGCCTAGTTCATAACCTATGATGTACAGTTGCTTGCCAAATGCTAGCCTACTGCAATGGTGGGCTGATCTGTGGTACTTTGATGTCTTGTGATTGGATCATACAAGGGAGTTTTAATTGATCACAGGATTTCAAACTAAATCTGCTTGACCGATTTGAATTGCACACACACACAAAACTCCACCAGGTTTTGGCATGGTACGTCAATTAATGAGTTACAATTAAGAAGGTTTTTGGGGGGGGAGAGGGAAGCAGTTGCACGTCCGGTGCCATGACTCATCTGCTTGATTCGGATGCTCCTTTGCAGGTTGGCCTCTGCTCGCCCTCCCCGGTACCCGGTACAGTGCCGTCGGTGTCTTTGCTGCCCCTGTCTTTGGACTGTCCGTCGTTGTTGTTGGCTGATGCTGCCAGCTCCCCCAGTCCCAACTTGCGCATGTGTCGTACCACGGCCGTCGCGTTGAAGGCTTGCTGTAGTCGAACACGGACACAAAAATGTATCTAGATGTTTAAATTGACCTCTTTCTGCCTGTTAATGGAACTGTATTTGCAAAAGAATGCAATGGAGGCTCACGAAACGATCACATGTACTGGTCCCATAGTTGAGGGGGCAACACATGTGTTGAAACATATGTAGATGTGTCATGGGGACTCATGATACTGTCCCTACAAACTGGTCTCCACTTTCCTGTCAACACAAGACATCGCCCCCTCAATGAAGTGACAACCTGGACGCAGAGACAGTTGGGCTGCCCTTGCATGCTAAACTAAAAAACAACCAAGAGCCAGATAGACAAGTACATGAAAGCAGTGTATGTGGGTGGGGAGTTTCTCCCTTTGGAAGCAAGCAACGTTTTTTTCTGCTGACCAATCTGTTTTCACAACTCTCTGCAGAGTTTCCAAAAGTCTGACCATCATACCTTGCATTTCTTTAGCAAAATTTATTCTGAGGTTAGGAACTTCTACTCTTAAGATATCCACCAAGCGCAGTTCAAAGCTCTGTTTACTTTTTGGGTAAGTCTGCCTGCAAGCTCTTAAAATACAAAGACAGCCTTCTTAATTTCATGCCCCGCCCCTTCCTCCAGTGAGTTCCACTGACATACAGAGGTGCCCTCTTGTCTTTTATGAATGTGAACACACTCAACAGCCTTCAAAACACCCCCGCCCCCTCCAAAATCCGGACATCCGCTCCTAAGATATTCTCAATAATGATGCACGCACAAACGTGTCCCTGTACAAGATCCAAGCCATCCAAACTGCTTCCCTGATAATGCTAAACGTCACTGATAATGGTGGTGGGCCATGATGGATTTGGTCAACACGCTGCAATTTTAGCAGCGACACTCAATTAATCACGGGTGATAAATCAGCAGCGCATTATTCTTTCAGCTCGGCCGTAACTAATCAAGCGTGCACAGCGGCAAATCTCAACGGGCCATCTCCCCGCGTTCAATTAATAACACTCCTGACAATGCTTGGCTGTTTGACTTATTCTCCCCCCCCCATTCTCTACCCACCCCCACCCTCCCAAAAATGTCCAGTTCATGCTTGTGACTCGCAAGACATAATCATATCAATTTCTACACCGGTTTTGTTTCGCTCATTCCAGTTCATCAACTCCAAAAAGGTTTCAGGGATTGGATTTCCCAAACTGCCAAACTCTCAAACAAGAGAGGGCCATAAATTTTCACCCCTGTGTAAACTGTTGGAGTGCTACATAAATAATATGACAATGGGCCTACACAGTACATATCCACCGAAGGAAATGATTTGTGGACCGGTTAATAAATTGGAAATGAGACCTTGTATGTACAGTCCATGTAAAATGAGGACCAGATTCTTGTTACAACTGTTATGGTGAACCAGAATATTGCCAAGTGAAATCAGTAGTGTTTTTCAAGTTTTTTTAAGTGTGATAAATAAACTCAATGTAACATTTGTCTAGCTTGTTCAACCAAGTTGTTAATATCACTTTGGATAAAGCCCTCTCCACAACTAGGGAATATTCAGCACATGCATCTTATTTCATATTTAAAACTACAACACAGAAGTTACGAATATTACGAATACCTTAGAAGAGCACGAATTACAGCCTATACAAAAAAAATGTGCCGGCATATCTACCGGTGTGGTTAGGGGGAACGGAGCTTGGTCAAATTGAAATTCAAGCCACACTTCCACAAATTGATTCGGCCGTAGTTGGACTTCAAATGGCCCGAGCGTGGGTGGGCAGCCCAGAGAATCAATACCAGGAACTATGTTTCGGTCACAAGGGTGCTGCGGTAGGTAATAGATGCTGTCCACGAGCAGTGACCAAGAGCAAACGGTGTCCAAATCTACCTGGCTACGCGTAGACTCCTGGAGCTGTTAGTTTTGAGGCTTCTCTAGACACACGTAGCTCGTAGCTGTAGCCAAATAATTTGGACGCGGTCATTCACGAAAGAGAGAAGGGAGCATGGGCTTTGCCAGAAAGGGGGCAGGGTCAGAGCTCTTTCCTGGGGGAGGGGGCACAGCAATCAGCAGCAGCAAACTGATAAACCAACTGTGGAAGGGGAGCCAGCTCCATGGTATTTTCACACATATTGTCAAGTTTCATTTATTTTCCTCTTGAAATGCCCATGGAAGGCACACAGGAGGACCTAAGCAAAGACCAAGGCACCAGCACAGATGCAGAAAGGATGAGGAAAGGACAAATGTTTCCCCTCCTACCGCTTACGGGGGGGTACTATTTCACAACAAACCGACCCAACTTGCGGCATTATTTTTGGCCAAAAATCTGGCATTTTTGAAACAACAGGACACCAAGGCCACTTCCCATAACTCTTTGGGGCATCACAGAAGCAGACTCCTCATGCAAGATTTACACGACATTTTTTATTGTAACTTCATTCTTACCGCGAACCCATTTATTCCTTGAGCTCCTACTAGGGGCCCTCAGGCCCGACTTAAACCATTACAAATTCCCCTGCAGGTGACCAGAGCTACATAGCACAAGCAGTGACAACAGTCTGGCTCAGAGAAAACCTGCAAGAGGACAATTTAAAAAAAATTTGTCTGCTAGTGCTGACCCTGAGCCCCAAGCGTAGTGTGAATTTCACTGAATCCTTTTGGATTGAAAAAGGTCAGAGGGTTCTTTGGGACAAACCCAAAAGATCCTTCAGTTTGGACAAAAGGGATAAAGAGTATCTCACAGCATGTGGTAGGCCCTTGGGTATATGAAAGGGTATTCACTCTGAAAACCATACACATGGCAGATTTAATCATGTTTTCCAAGTAAACCACAAGTCATGTACCAAAAAAAAAAAATTGCACAGGATCGGGAACTTGCCAGTGGCTGGTTGTCTTGATTTCATTTCCCAAACGGCGAGCCTGGAAACGAAGACTGAACCAGATTGAAAGTACCGACAGTCCTTGCCAGTGCGGATTTCATAGCTAAAGGGATAGAGCGTCATGTACCAGGCCAAAATGTGAGAATCCCATGGGTGGATGTCCCCACCCGACGCCCACAGTTCAACAGGTGCTGGCTCTTGAGTGGGAAAAGGAAAAAAAACTCCCAAGAGAATAGTACACACAGCCGACTGATACCACTCTGATACCAACATATTACCGAGAAGTGGGTGTACACTTACATGTACCACCTCCCATTCTGAATACTTTCAGGGTTATTTGGGGGGAGGAGTCCAGTTTTTTTTTAGAAATTCCCAAAATGTACAACACCTGAAAGATCAACTTCTTGGAAAATTAAATGGTTCAAAATAATTTGCTCTGACAGATACATTTTGGTTCTAAAAGTGTTGCGACTAGTAGAAGCCTAGCAATACTGCTAACAATAGATATGCAGCATACATGTAGGAGAAAATCTAGAACATGCTTAAGTGGTTCCAAAATCCAAAATAAGGACTTTCTGGCATTTCTAGAGAAGGTTAATGAAAAACCCAATGGACATTGTCGTAATAAACTCTGATGTCCACAATGTTCAAGGCGACAAGAGAGCATGGCCAACTGACCAAATATAAAAAAAAAAGGGCAACAGGCCAGACAAGAGATGGAAAGATAAACTTCTACTACAAATGCTTCCGATTGTAAGCAGTGGGGGAGGGAGGTCAGAGGGAGATTTGAGGGGAAAGTGGAGGCAGGGAGGGAGAAATGTCTGCTGCGTGAGATGAAAATTATTCTTGAGATGACTTCGTGAGATCTCAACTGGCCACCCAATCCTGACAACCGGTCGCGGTCAAGTGTTTTGCATGACTGTAATTCGTGACAGCAGGTCCCTGGTTAAGTGGTCCCACTCAACAGGCAAGCTTGCGAAGTTGCACACCCCTTCCGCGTCCACACACACAGTCCCTTGAGATGTACTGAGAAAAAAACATTCATGATTTCGGCCGCTGCAAAACCTCGTTCTCATCATTCATGAAGCAGTTTCCCAGTGTTTACATATCTATACGCTGTAGCAAGGAGGCGACAATTTGTCATTACACATTTGCAATCTGTGTGAGAGGTAAAATCAGGGTTCATTCCACTGAAGGGAAAACGACTCAATTACCGGCACGTGTCCTGATTTCCTCACGAACTGCTTTCTTCCAATCTAGGAGCTATTTGTACTTCTGGCAAAGAAAAATCACAGTTCGCACTACGGAAGGGAGCAAGAAGTGACTAGATTTCTTCCTCTTTTCCTTACACAGCACTTTCTTCAAAGCCAACTTTTGGGTAGGAGAAAAACAAATATGGCACGGCTTTAAAAGAAGTACAGGTGCAGATAATCCTTGCCAAGTCAGGGTACAAATTTCACTTCCCAAGGGACGCCACTCTGCTGTAAAGAGGCCACATGCCAGCAATCTGTGGGTGGATAACTCAACAGTACACCCACCAATCAATTCAGAGAGGTGCTGGCTTTTAGCGCCAGACGTGTCCTGCCGAGTTAAGGTTACATGGGACTGGACCCGGCCGTGCCTGGTTTCCTCCCAAACTCAATCATTTTAACGGAGCAACATCTCCCATGGTGACCCAGAGGCTTGCAATCATCGCATATAAAGTGCATCTAAATTTCCCTTGAACACCGACAAGGTGGAAATCTTGCCCAACCAAAGCCTTCCCCCCCTCCAAAAAAAAATGTCCATTCTTTTTTAACACCGGATGTAAATGCTAACTGATGTAGCCCCGGGTCACAGATGGTTGTTACCAACTTCCCACGACCTGCATGGGTATGGATATGCCAAGCAATATTGATTTCTTTCATCGGACAAATGAATGAAAACTTACACAGGTGTGCCAATCTTCTCGTGTTACCCTAAAGTGTAGGCACGACAGCATGCAAGCACCTCCTCAAGTTTCAATCTTTTAACAGAGTGCTACAGTGAAACTTGGGAAGGAAATTCTAATAATTCAATTATATCTGCTCCATGCTGATGCAGAAATTCTGGAATTTTCTTTTCTTTAACTTTAGTTTCTTGATGGGGAGAGTTTACTGCAAC